GGGGTTGTTGGTGGGAGGGGGGGGGGTTGTTGGGGGGGAGTGGACTGATTACTAGGGGAAAATGAGTTGTATCGCTCCTTTAATCCAGCTGGTCTGCCTGCACTTGTCCGCCTGTTTTTAACGCCTGTTTGACAACTCCTAATTGGCCAGTCGGAGAGGAAACAGGAAGTGCAGGTCGTCTCCTTTGGCGTGTTGGTACGAGTCAGAAGACGACGCCCACAGACGAACGCAGGACAAATTAATTGGAGGATGTGAAGTGAAGTGGCTGAGAAATGAGGCCACGGAGAAAAAGAAAGGTCAAGATTGGATTAAAGAGCAGGAAAAAAAAAGGTGGGGGGGGGGGTGAAGAACCTCAAGGTTTAATCCATAACTAGTGGAGCTTCGAGATCCGAGCTTCCAGAAATACGAGTTTACCACGTTACCAGTTACTGACCAACATATATAAATATATATATGTATTTATATGTGTGTACAGATTAACTGTACTCTGTACCAGAGTATGAGCTTCTGTAATAAACTGTAATTAACTGTAATAAACTGTATTAACATCTTCATCATCTTCATGATCCAAACATCTCCTGTCGATTTATTTTTCCAGGAATAACACCAGGACAGTATTTCAGAGGGAAACCTGCGTCATCAGGGTAAAGCCGTGGGTTGAGGGCCCGGCTGACAGAGCGATGACCTCTGCAGAGGGAGGTGAACATCAGGTGAGCTGTGGCTCTGATCTGAAAGCTGATCAACTGGGTCATAACATCAGGAGGCCTCACGGCGCAGGACATCGATTTTTCTCCACAAAATCTTTTTTTTTTCCAATTTCTCCTGCGATGTGATGGTGATGATCCAGGTTTTAAACATGTTCAAAATCGTTTTTAATAGGAGTAACAGACAGGAGCTGTTGAAAAATGGACTCTGAGCTCTGGACCAGAGACACAAGCTGACGTGACTGGAATATGAAAGAAGACCAGGACGCCCTGCAGCACACCTACAGAAGAGACTACAGCAAGGGAGGGGGGGGGAACGGAGGAAGGAGGGAGGGGGGAGTGAGGACAGAAGTATCTCTGTGAAAATCTAGAACTAAATGTTTATTTTCTATTCATTCACAGAGAAAAATGGAAGTCTGTTTTAATTACCAACAGAGATGGAGATCATGAGTCCATACATTTGGATTCATTATTTCTATATTAAACTATTAGTCTAGTGCAGCAGCGCCACCATCTTTGAACAGTCATCAGTGCTGATTGTTCTCCTGGTGCTGAGTTCAGGGACCAGCGGTGATGATAACGACCAGCTCCTGTTCCAGGTTTAATAATCAACGCTGAAGTAGAATGGACTTGATTTAACCCTGTTTATAGACTGTCTGAATGACAGTGAACAGAGGGGTGGGGGGGTGGTGGGTCAGGACATGATTCGCTCCCTGACAGACAGATCATTCCATAGTGACTGTCAATCATCCGTTCCAGATTCTCAGAAATGAATTAAACTCCCCCCCATCTGAACTTCAAAAACACAAATATAAACAAATATCAATCATTAAGAGAACCATGTCGTACCACTGAATGGGCACCAGTCCTCATGTTGAGCCACTGGTGACCAGATATTTCCTGGTATCAGGAGGAAGATCCTGCAGTAGTTACAGACTGGTAACATCTGGATCTCCAGGCTCCACTGACACTGACGGAGTTTTTCTCAGCTCGCCTGGTCTTTGGTGCAGGTGTGTGTGTGTGTGTGTGTGTGTGTGTAGCCTGGGTAGAGCCATCATCCCCGGTGACAGCTGCCGGTGTCCTGACCTTGAGCGTCGAGGGCTACACGGTTTTGAAGTGATTGACGAACGGTCTCCTTTCATTCATTATTGAAGGCCGGGATCAGAACCCACCACAGCGGGGGTATCAGTGTGACAGCCCCCTGACCAGACAGAGGTAAAGAGAGGCAGCAGCAGCAGGAGGAGGAGGAGGAGGAGGAGGAGGAGGGCCTGGGAGAAGGTC